TAAAGAGAAATGGACAATCTACATAATGAATTACAATATACACTATTTTTAAAGCTTGGATAATTTTTTTCTTCAACCATGACGTAAAGGCTAAGATGATCGATTTGAAGGTTTTTTGATGTCGAAATTGTAATTTTTAATGACTTTTGATATAAGCTTTTCCATTGTTCCTCCTATATTCTAATTGAAGATCACATATGGTTTAGAGCAGTAAAAGTGAACTAGATTGTAGAATCACCAATTTGGAATAAGAATCAGTCCAAATCGACCTAGTTCCTTATCAAAACCAAGAATCGGTCAGCTTCTGATAATCTTTTATAATTTCGTCAAAGAATGAAGAGAGTTTTACTTGTTTTTTATTTTTTTGTAGTGTCGGATTTGCTGATCCAAATTGATGATTTTGTTCTAGACCGGTTCTGCTGATCGGGCTTTTTAAACACTAGTTTAGCCTTTAGATCGTGAACGCGGTTAAGTAGACGCCTGTTATATATTATTTATGGAAGCGGATGTAGAATGAGTCAGGTTCATCTAATTTTACCATGGGACCGTCAACGCGGTAGTCAAAACACATCCCTAATAGACGTTTTTTATAAAAAAAAAATGCATCGAAAAAGAGGAGGGAAATGTTCCGTTTGTAGGGAAAGGTCCCAACATCATACAATGTCACATTAAATAATATTTTTTTTTACAAAATATTTTTGGATGAAATTATGGGAATCCCAACATAAAATTAGGTTTAGAAAAAATAAAAAATAAATATTTTTTATAAATATAAATTACCAAAATACCTTTAAAAATTTCAAAGGTATTTTGATAATATTTTATCACGGGAAATGTTTTCTTTTATTTTTATAATATACACCCCTGATAGATCTATGCATACCCAAAAATTTTCTTCAAAATTACTTGAAGAATTTTTTTTTTTTAAAAAAGAAAAAAACTATGGGCCATTTGATCAAGAAATGCCTGTTAGAAGCTAGCTTGTGACGTTATGACTCAAGTTATCTCAACCATCTACTCAGATTCGTCGGCACTAGGGATCACGTATACTATATATGTGAGTGGGGTCACATGAAAATGCATCCTTTATAGATTATCTTGTTCATTTTCAAAAAAATTAGTAATTAAGGGAGACAATAGGTTTTCTTTTCACTCCAGACTTTGCTTGCATCCTTTATAGATTATCTTGTTCATTTTTCAAAAAAATTAGTAATTAAGGGAGACAATAGGTTTTCTTTTCACTCCAGACTTTGCAACAATGAAACTGCATTTTTCAACGTAGTTTAGAGATGTGTCTTGCACTTGCTCTGATTATTTACAGTCCACGACTCGAGCACACTTCACGCTCCTTGTATAGGTTCCCAGCCGTTACATAATCTCTAACAAAAATAAGAATCTCTCATCCTCTTTGCACCCCCGAGAAGGCGTTTTCGCTCTCCTAAAACCCAAATTCTCATTGGCCCGAACCCCCCTCTCTCTCTTGAAACCTAAAAGATCTCCCAACGCCTTTAATCATCTTATTTTCTCGCTTGCTTCCTATTAGATTGATAAATTATTTTTGTGATTGTAAAGCTCTGTCTATTTAAATCTGATAGCTGAGACAGTAATGACATATACAGTATCGCTATATCACTAAGTCGCATGTAGAAAGCTCGACCTTTTCTAAATCTTCGTAAACACATTTACGAGTGAGCGTACGGTCGAGTCGAGTTAGCCAGTCGACTCCTTTCACATGTAAGAGTGAGCGTATAGTCGAGTCGACTTAGCGAGTCGCCTCGAAAAAACGCGTGCCCGTGCCGGTTCCAATCGAAAACTGGGAACCGTCCGGTTCTAGAGTGGAACCGCCGGTTCCTATCCGCTTCAACCCGTTCTAAAGTGGAACTGTCGGTTCCCATCCGGTTCAGCGCGGTTCTAAAGTGGAACCTCCGCGGGTTCCCATCCGGTTCAGCCCGATTCTAGAGTGGAACCGCCGGTTTCCATCCGATTCAGCCCCAGTTTTAGAATGGAACCGCCGGTTCCCATCTAGTTCAGCCCCGTTCACACACGTAACACATGACACGCACTTGCGAGCATGCCCCACACACACGTGTGTCCAAGCGCACGTGCGAGCTTGCCCCACACACACTCACACGCGCACACGTGCGTCCAAACGCACATGCGAGGTTGCCCTAATATTTTTATACACATTTTATAATTCATATTGCATAGGTATTTATATACCAAATTTGAATACCCATCTTTCGATGTGGGATAATTCCCAAACATCATTAAATGAAAACGAAATATAAATATACTCTATTAATCAGCAATTTATAATCACATGTAGTTAGATGGCTTGATGGTTATGATTTTGAATTTTTTACTTGAGGTCCCAAGGTCGAATCCCTTTAGGCACCCCCTTGGGCATGTGTTGCATTTGAATCCCTTGGGCATTATTGCATTTTTGTTGTGTATATAGTGGTTGGTATAAATATTTTTGTGGTTTTCAAATTTCCTTGGCCATGTGTTGCATTTTTGTTGTATATATAGTAGTTGGTATAAATATAAATATTTTTGTTGTGTATATAGTGGTTGGTATAAATATAAATATTTTTGTAAATAATATAAAAGACATAAAAAAATAAAAAATAAAAAAATTAATTTTTTATATAATCGTTAATTTTTGTTGTATATAGTGGTATAATTATTTTTGTAAATAATATGAAAGGTATAAAAAAATAAAAATAAAAATTTTATTTTATTTGAAATCTCCATCTTTCTACTAACAATCTCTTTTACTAAATTTATTATAGAAACCTAAAAAAATAAATTTTTGAAAAATTGAAGTGTTATTTTCAAAATTTGTACGTATTTTATTAACTATTACATTGATAACCAAATCTTTTATTTTATTTATGAATTTTTACATTATAAATCATTTAATTTACTATTTTTCTTACAGTTGTCAATAATACATTTTAAATTAGATAATATTATAAAATATTTTAAATTTGTTAGTATTTATCTAATAAAATAATTACAAAATGTAAACTAATAATTATAATTTCAGTATATAATATAATAATTAGCGAGGTTGTAATAATTTTGGATTATAGTTAGTTATGCTATAATAGTTTAGGTTTTTTTAGCAAGTTAGGGTTTTTCGCCAAAACGAGATTTTAATGGTCATTCTTTCATTGATTAGTCTACTCTTTATAATAGTCCATGTATAATTATATATTTTATCCATGATAATTTTACGATTTTTCTTTTATGTGATGCAAATTTAATAGTTAAAATAAATTTATACAGGGAAAGAACATCTCAATATTCACAAATTGATAAAAAAAAAATGAAAGTTAATAATGTAGTACCCTCATTTTTTATTGGATTCCTAAAAAAAAATATTTATAATGAATTTTAATAATTTTTTCGGATTTTTTTGAAGCTTTAATCCGACCGATTCAGCCGATTCCCAATCCGAATCACCGATTCACCGATCCAGATCGATTTTTTAGATGCT